GGAGGGCTGCTGTGAGCACGCATAGCACTGCAGTGCCCTGCAGCACCCCGGGGCCGGGCTGCCTGCTGTCCCTGAGCCGTGTGGGAGCGGCCCTGCTGCTCGTGGCCCCGCACAGCTCTGTGCCGTGCTCCCTACAGTGCCAACATTCATCAGGACAGTTTGCTCTGGTGACTTTCCTCCTCGTAACTCAGCTAATGAACTCTTCTGTGGCCAAGGTGTCACCAGCTGTAACATGTAAAGGGAAAAAGTGGCAAACCCTGGGTGAGAGAAACGCTGAGAGAAAATGGCGGCCGGGCTGAGGCGGCGCCCTCCACACACAGCCCTGAGCGCAGCCTGGAGCGCCGTGCAGGGCCTGCCCTCATCAGCCCAGGTGGCCTCTGGTACCGCCATTGGGAGCTGGCTGGCAGTGCCCACACACACCTGCTGGCACCCACGGCTCGCCGGGGAGTTCCTGGTGCTTCTTAATGCCTGGGAAGGCCTTTCTGAGGCAGCCCCTGGATGGGCTGCTGAGAATGTGGCCCCGCCATGACAGCACTGCAAGCTGCAGGAAAGAGGCTGCAGGTCACAGTGCAATGGCATCTGCTGGCTTCTGTAACTGCTTTTGGCCTCAGGTAAGCAAAAAGATGGGGGAGGGGGGGAGGGGATCTGGGGGGTTTGCAGCCTATGGGGGCTGCCAGCTCGTTGTCCCTCGCTGAGGGCACAGGTGGAGAGTTGGGCAGGCCCCTGTGCCTCCCCTGGGGCTGGGGGGAGAGGCTGCAATGGTAACAGTGTGGGATGTGCAGTGCCAGTGCTGAGTGACTTGGGGGTGTGGGGCTGGAGGCTGCAGCCGTGTGGGGACTGTGGGGAAGGGGTAATGTGGAGGATTTGTTGTTGTGGAGAAGGGCTGTAGGTGGGTAATGCTCCAGCCTATGTTCAGAAGAACGAAAGCAACCACTGGCAAAGACAGTTGCTGTGGATGTCCCTGTGATTAACTGGAAGAATATGTAAATGTATATAGCAGTTACCATAGCTACTGGAGGCATTACACTGGGGTGGGGGAAGGCAGAGTCCCCAGCCCAGGTCAGGATTTGCATTCACAGCACAACAGCACCCAGCACCCCATGAGGCTGGCACAGAGCAGCTGGGCTGTTCTCACCTTGTGCCACCATGCCACAGTATTTTCCCATGGGGCCACAGCCCCTTGCTATTGACTTGAGCACTTCTTAGGTCCTCAGGACAGAAAGAACCCTGAGAAAGTGATAAACCTCAGGCAACGTGCTGCCGCACAGCAGCACAAAGCTGGGAGCCCCTGTGTGCCAACCTGCACGCAGGTGCACCAAGCAATCAGGTGACCCAGCCCCAAAGCTCATTGCTGGCTGATCCTATAAAACTGAGAGGGAAAAGGGGCTTGTGTGGAACCCACAGAACTGCCTTGCCTGCTATAGGTGCTGGTGAGTGCCCCTGTTGTGTTGTATTGTGTCGTGTTGCATTGCTTACTCACGTGGCTGCTGTGAGCCCCAAGACAAAGGGGCTTCCACCCACCCACAGGTATTTGCTTGTGCCTCTGTGAGCCCTAGGGTTTGCTGGGTGGTCACAGCTGGAGGGTGAGTGAAGGAGTGAAGCCTGTGGACTTTCGAGCACCTTAACCCAAAAGCTCCAGGCTGACAGCCCTGCTGCCTGCACTGCTCCTGGCTCTGGGGGACAGCAGAGCTGGGGGGATCCCAAAGGATGGGGGGACCCCAGGTTCTACTGCCTGCCCAGGCGCTCCGTGGCCATTACAAATGACAGGCGTGCGCGGCCAGGCTCTCATGTCTGCTATTTTCTTATAATTTAAGAGCCTTCCTCACATTAATCTTTTTATTTTTATTTTGACAAATGTATGTTTCCAGGAAGTTGCTGAGGTCAAAGCAGCATCTGTTGCTCGTTATTTTGGGGGATGCAGAGGGTCTTTGTGAGGGTTTCCAAAGCAACAATGAATTAAGTGGTTTGTAAAGCAGAGAGCAGGAATGAGGAGAGGGCTGGGGCTTCCCGAAAGGCAGCTGAAGATGCTGATGAAAATCAGATCAGCTTGCCTGTATTTACTTGGAAACTTGATCTATTTTTCTTGTACAACTGTCAGCCTGACTCCTGTATTTCAAGCTCTTGGCAGGAGCCAGCTCTGCGTTTCGGCACTGGGATTAGTGTGGCCGCAGTCGGATGTGCGCTCCCTGGCCTGCACCATCTGCCATGTGCTGGCCAGGGGCACATGCATGGCAGAAGCTGTGGTATGCTGTGAGGGAAAGTGACAAGTGAGGGCCCAGGGACCGGCATGTCCTGCTGTGATGCCAGCTGTGGACATGGGCAGGGACCCCTAGGATAACATCCCGGCACTTTTCTCCTGAAACCAGTCTTGGGGCTGAGCTCACACCTTGAAATGCCCCACATTCCTCCCAGGGTGCTGCTCCAGCCGCCTGCCCTCAATCACCAAAACCAGCTGAGAAGTCAGTGCAGGGTCAGTCCTGTGGCCAGGGCTCCCATGTGGGGCTGGTGTAGTGTCAGAAGCAGCTTTTTTTCTTGCAAAACAACACAAGGAGGGTCTGGTGCCAAGGCGAAGGCTGCCGAGGAGCCCAGGAGATTTATTGCTGAGGAAATACTTTCTCCAGCGATGGCTGACGGTCACAGCAGGAACAATGGGAGATTCGCAACGTGAACAAAGCTGATTTCGTTCTTCTTTTTATCAATGCATTTTCCTTGCGGAGCCTCCCTTCCTGGAAGTGGGAGATGCAGCTTCCCCCGCGCTCTGGCTGTGTAATCAGCAGGAATGGCAATATCCTGGCTGGGAAGCGAGCTGTGAAATGCTGTCACCCATGCTGATTTATGAGCCCGGGGTAGCGCAAGCTGTGGCAGCGGTCAGCAGCAGGGTTGGCCCGGGGACAAAGTGCCAGGGCGCGTGCAATATCCACATATTCTTTCTCCTCCTCACCGCATCCCCGGGGAGCCCACAAGGGGAAGTTAATGGATTAGACACACACGTTCTGTTTTATTTTATTTTTTTATTGCCCCTGTCTTTCCAAACGCCTTTAGCAGACGTGCGATGACAATGGGGCCGGACAGGCGTGGGGTCAGCAGCCTGCCTGTGGGAGGTCAGCACGCTGTGTGCCGGCCGTGGGCACCGATGGTCCTGGGTGGACCAGGGGGGGTCTGCATGGGGTGGCCCTGCAGCCCAGGCCATGCGGTGCCCACGGGCTGGGCAGCACCGCATGATCCATCCTGCGCCTCCTGCGCCGCACCATGCAGTCCTCACCCAGCATCGGGAATATGAAATGATTATTCCAAATGATCAGATTTTAATTATGCAACAGAGAGGATGATTATTGTATGCCAAATTGGTGCCGAGTGCTTAGTTATGTATATGCCAAATTTAGTCTATACTATTATACCCAGTGGGTGGCCGTAGACAATCAGGAAGTAATTAGTTTTGCTGGAGGTTGTTCGCTTGCCTGGTTCGCTGTGCTGTCTGGGGAGCGTCTTGCTGCGCTTCGTGAATACCACGGGCTTTGAGTTCAATACCGTCTTTTTGTGACAAGCTAATAAGCTGTCTGCATGGCGGCCTGTAATTAGCGCTGTCGATATTCATTTGGAAACGGAGCCTGTGCGGAGTGGCTCTGCCGATGGCGCTTCCCTTTGTTGAGGCTCTGGTCCCACCTCGCCTCCCAGGGACACGTGCCGGGCACGTTGGTTGTGCAGTGGGGACAGCCCACGGTGCCACCTGCCGTGTTCCGAGGGTCCGTGCTCACCTCTGGGGTCCCGTTGGTAGAACCACCCGTGGCTGGGGCTGCGTTGGTGGGGAAGTGCTGACATTGGAATGTGGTGGTGCTGCCCATGGGCAGCGTTCCGTGCTGAGGGGCTCCGGATGCCTTCAGAACCGGCCAGGGGCTGCCAGGCAGGAATTGCCTGAGTATGGAGCAACTTTTACCTCTGTTACACAAAGGAAACTTTCCTTCTCTTTTTGTCAGAGATGCTCACTCCATTGAAATGATTGGCATACTGGAGAGCTGAGAAACTAAATTGTTTATACACTAATGAATAGAAGCTTGATTGCAAGATCCTGTTTGGAAAATTATAGTGCTGAATTGAAGCCGTACAATTACATCCAAAATGCTGCATATTCATTTCATCTGCTTTGCATAGAGATTAACAAGCGAGCCCTAAAGCAGACTCTGAAATTAAAGCTAACACCAGATTTAGTCACAGGTTACAAACTAAATAGCATTGTTTGATGGATATGAATCTTTACCACCTGCCTGCCTGATGATTGCTAGCAGCTTACCAGACAGCAGAGGAAAAACTTTCTTCCCATGCAGGAAGCACAATAAGCATGGAGCTGGACATGCCCCCCCAGGCAGATGGCTGCTTGCTTCCATCCCCTGGGAAGGGCACCTCTGGCCTCTTCTGCTGGAGGATGCAGCCCCTCCAGGTTTGCAGGACCAGAGATGTGGTGCTGCAGGTTCCTGTCCCCACCTTGATCCCACCCCCTGGAGCCCTCCTTCCCTGTGTGCCCAGGCTGAGCTTGATTTGTGGGCCAGAGTTTGGTTTGGGAGCAGAAACTCGGGAATGAAAAAGGACAGTGTGTGCACTGGGGGCTGCCCTGTTCCATCCCAGAGCCCAGACCTCTTAGGGCGGGCTGCAGTTGGGGGCTGTGGGGCAGTGTTGGTGCTGTGTGCTGGCAGGGGATGCTTTGGAAATGGTCCCCGTCACTGGTGAGGAACCTGGTACTCACGTGGCAGTGTGTGGTGACATGAGACCTCTTGGCACTGTGAGGGGGAGCAGCTGGGACTCACAATTGCACTGTGGCTGTGACAGTAGGGGGATACAGGGACCCTCCCTGAGGGGAGTGGGCCAGGGATGGGGCTGCAGCTGCCTTGACTCCTGGGCGGGATGTCACTTAACTGGGAAAACTGCAGCACCAAACTGCCTAGGAGTACTGGGGCTGGGGGATGAGATGCTCCCGGTGAATGGGGCAGAGAACATGGCACCAGCTCTGCAAATTCGAGGCATTTATTTTCTTTAAAACTCAGTTACCAAACTGCTGTGTACTTTATTTCCTAAAGGAGTGGTCGATCTGTCTCTACCACACTAACACGCGGCCCAACCACAGCTTTACAAATCCACAGCTCCCATCGTGTGTCCTCAGCAGTGCTGGTGGTGCCACGGGCCCTCTGTCATCAGCTCCCATCGGCTCCTGGTCAGCCCTGGGCCCCACAGTGCTGTGCTGTTGAGGTCCTGCCACACTCTGCACTGGGGCAGAATGGCTGCTCTGAGCCTCCATCTCCTGACACTTCCCCAACTCGAGCCTCCAGCACATTCCCAAACCTCCTCTTGCAAACAGTGAGTGGAGGATCACCTCCCAGGGTCCCTCCCCAGAACCTGCTCCAGCCTGTGCTGATGAGGGCTGTGTGGCAGCACCAAGTATTGCCTTGGCTCTCCCCACAGGGCTGGGTTTCTTCCTTAAACCTTCCATCTGCAAACTGAACCCCAGACATTCATGCTTCCAACTTCACACTGAACCATTTCATAACACCCCAACATGACAGAGCAGCCCCAAAGTGCTCAGAGAGGTGTGCATGGAGCAGCTGCCTCTGTGCCACCCCAAAATATGCGGAGCACCTGCTGTGGCATGGGGCTCCCGACTCTCCCCTGTGGGCAGTCACCCCATACCAGCCTCTCGCAGGGCAGCCCCAGTCTGTGTGGACAGTAAGTGGCCCAGCATAGGAAAAGGCACCTTTGGAGGGAGGCAGTGGTGGCATTGCTGCACAGGGACACAGCAGTGGGGCGGTGAAGCTGCTGTCTCCAAAACAGGACCGGTCTGAAGGCAGTGAGGTGTCTGCATCTCTCCCTCCCGAGGCCACCCCACCACAGCAGGGCTGGGGATGCAGTGGGAAGGATGTGGAGCTGGGGCTGTCTGCAGCAGCCAGGGATGTGGTAATGAGTGGGATCTGTGCTTCTGCCAGGCAGCAGAAGTGAGAGCTCCCTGGGACAAAGACCCACTTGGCATGTCTGACCAAGGGAAGGACAGAACACAAAAGGGCTGGGCAAAGCAGGAAGACAGCACGAACTGGTGCAGAATAGGACAGGGGCTGACCGGGTTGCACTCTCTGCTGCAGCCCACACGTGGCAGGAGCTGATGCATGGAGCAGGGACAGTGAAGGAACCTGACCCAGGCAGGGTGCAGGGACCCTGTAACCCCAGTGTGCAGGGGGAGCGATGTGGAAAGAGCCACTGTGACTGCCTGTCAGCCGGCTGCCAGTGCTGTGTCCAACTAAGAAGGGACCCTGCTGGGCCCCACAGTAGTGTCCAGCTCCGGCTCCAGCAGCTCATCTTCTGAGAAGCTGATGTGCAAACAGGTGTCATCTGCAGGGGAGAACGGCAGTGTGCTGTCCGTGGGGCTCAGCAGTGAGGCCAAGTCCTTGCTCAGGGCATCACTGGCTGTGGGATCATGGATGCTGGATGGAGGGGATGTGTGCCCATTCTCTCCAGACCTGTCCTTGCTCAGAACATGTTGGTAGGTCCCAACAGAGAGGGGCTCTGCATTGGCAGCAGCGCTCCGTGCAGGAGTCCTTGCCTCAGGGTCCAGGAGGGTGAGGGAGGTGGCAGTGATGCTGGTGAGGCCGGACACACTGGGGCTGGGGAGGCTCACGTGGGCAGTACTCTCAGGCTTAATGTCCACTTCTAGGCTCGGGGAGGTCTTGCTTGACCTCTTGCGTAGGATGGGTGGCGGTGGGTTGAGCTTGGGAATGGGCTGCTGCCGCCTGGGAAGCAAGAGCAAAGAGGAGGTGATGGGCAAGGATTTACCTACCTGCACACAGGGCTCAGTCCAGCTGCCCTGGGCTCTCCAAAAGCCAGATGCATCTTTGGGTTTCTTCAGTCAACCCACTGTTGTGTATTTTGAAGCTGGGGCATGCAAGGGATGCAGCATTGGTTGAGTTGCTCCAGGGAACAGGAGCAGGACAGACAGCATCCCCCCCATCCCCGTTCCCATGTGTGCACACAGTGAATCCCACCCCGGGCTCTGCTCTCCTGAGATTCCTCTGCCCGTCCCCAACCTGAGCTTTCCTCTGCCAAGGACACAGCTCTCCCTCCCATACCCTAGCAGCTGCAAGCGCTGCTCTGGCCGGTGCTGCTGTGCCGCTTGGGGCTGGCGTAAGGTTCATTTTCTACACGTTAGCTGGCACGGTGCTACGCTTTGGATTAGCGCTGACAGGGGCAGGGCGCCCCGCTTCGGCTGCTGCGTCGGCCGCGGAGCCCCACCTGTCCTCGTCCCCTCTGTCCGCGTCCTCTGCCTTCTGCCGGCCGCTCCCGCTGAGCAGCGCCAAGTCGCTGACCTCGGAGCCCTCCACGCGCCGGCTGAGCCCCTCGTGCCCCGCCGGACCCTCGGCCCCGTCCTTGCTGCCGAAGCAGGGCCCGGCCCCCTCCAGGCCGACCAGGTTGAGGTAGGAATCCCCGGCGCCCAGCGCCGATGGCGAGCGGGGAGCCACGGGACTGCCCAGGACGCTGGCGGGGGTGGAGGTGGAGGGCAGGGCGAAGTCCAGGCTGTAGTGGTTCTTGAGGTTGAGCGACAGCGACTGCGCCAGGGACAGGTTCTGCAGCGAACGGTCAACTGCGGACGCAGAGAGACCAGGGGCGGTGAGGAGCCGCGGGCGGCCCCGGGGCTGCCGGTGCCCGGTGCCTGCTCCCCGCGCTCGCTCACCCGGCTGCCGCCGCTGCGCCCGGCTTTCCAGCGCCTTCAGCTGCCGCACCAGCAGCGAGACGTGCTGCAGCAGGTCGCGGTTGGTCAGCAGCAGCTGCCGCACCCGGGCCTGCGCCTCGATGCGCGCCGCCGTCTCTGCCGCCAGCTGGTCCTTCAGCAGCTGCACCTGCGGGCGGGACGGGGCTGCGGGGCCGGCGCCGCCGGAGCCTCCCCCGGTGCCCCAGGAGCCTTCCCCGGTCCCCCTGGTTCTCCCCCGGCACCCGCGGAGCCGCCCCAGCTCCCCTCTGTCCCGCGGCGCTGCGCGGCGCTTTGGCGCCCCCTGGCGGCCGCGCGGCGCTACGCCCGAGGCGGGGGATTGGGGCCAGCGGTGGGTGGGGCGGCGTGTGAGGTGGGGCGGGAGGGGAGTTGGTCTCCACGCCACGACGGGAGTATCCCTGGTTTGTAGGGCCATCGCTGCGCAACACCCCTTTACCCAGGCTCTACAGGGAGAGGAACGGGGCTGGTGCTGCCCAAGGGAAGGTGGGATGTGTACCTGAGCCACTGCCACCTGTGTCTGCTGCTGCTGCTGGAGGAGCTGCTGCTGGAGCAGCTGGAGGCAGTGCTGGGAGGCCAGTGGGGTGATGGAGGCTGAAGAGCAGGGGCTGCCCGGGCTGAGCAGCTGCTGTGAGCTGGCCGGGTACAAGGAGCAGCTCTCGGAGTCCTGGCGCAGAGACAAAGACGTGGTGAGAAGATGGCTCAGCTCGTGCTGGGGTTGTTCAGACAGTGGCTCCCCAGGTGTTTGATGGGGCCCCGTGCAGTGACCCAGGGATCACAGCTGCCCCCACAGCCCCAGCACTGTATGAAGCCAGGTCAGCAGCGCATCTGCGTCTAAACGGAAAGGCACAGTGAAGCCCTGCCTCCTGAGCCAAGAAAATAAATCCAACTGAATGCATTTCATTGCAGCTGCTTGCGGCCAGGCCCCGCAAGCGATACAATTGTGTAAAATGAAATAATGCCATTAAGGCAGCCAGGAAACACTCCCTCAAACAGCTCTGCAGAGCAACTATTCATTACGGCGTGTCCACAGCCAGCACCAAGCACGCCCTTAGCCCCTTTGCAGCAGGGGCTGCCCCGAGAGATGTTGCTGGTGGGGGGAAGCAGTGAGCTGCGGCTGCTGCTGGAGCATGGCCAAGGACTGCTGCAGACTAGACTAGACACCTGCCTGCACAGCATGAAAATGCCCTCAGCAGGGATGCTGCTTCCACTCCACCTGTTATCTGTCCAGCCACCTGTGTGGCATGGAGCAGGGTTCTGGTCAAGTGGTGCTGCTGCGGGGTTGGGGACAGCCAGAGCAGGGCACCGGGAAATTGGGAGTTCTCCTTATAGCTGTGCGTAAAGGGACAGCAGTGGTGACCCCCCCTCCTGGCCCTTACCTGGCAGTTCTTGTCCTTGGAGCCTTGTCCAGGTTTCAGTGTGCTCAGCTCACCCCTGGCAGTGGGCAGCTCTCCTGCTCCCCTCTCGGATACACAGATGCCATCAGAGTCAAGGCCAACCTCGTCCACATCTGTGATCTTGGAGCCCTTTATCTGGTGCACTTAAAATGAAATGGAAAAATGAACCAAAGCCCCTCCACTGCAGGACCAAGGCTGCCAGCCAGAGCTCAGACATGACAGCCTGGGGAGAATGGCCAAGGCTTGCTTTAGCCTCCATGGGGCTCAGGTTGGGAAGGTGCCGGATCAGCCAGGCCCCCAAGCCAACGGGGCACAAAGATCTCGCCATCGCTGCAGCTGTCCCATGAGGACACATCACTGCAGCCTCCCTCACCCCGATGCAACTCTGCTGCCGCCACTGCCCAGACCCCACGGAATGTCACCTTCAGATGGCTGCTCCTCTGCCGACTTGTCGCTGGCACCGTCCGCCTGGCCGTCAGCGTTCTGCAGGGCGTGCTGCAGGCTCAGCTTGTGGCACACCTCGAAGGCCTGGCCCACCGTGCGCACCACACGCATGGCCTGGCTCTGCAGAGCACACACACCGTCAGCCCTGCGCTGGGGTCCCAGGGCGGCCCCACCACCTCCCGGTGCCCCCCCAGGGTCTGGGCATGAGTGTGGAACACCCCACCTTCTTCTTGGATTTGAAGACGTTGCACCTGAAGGAGTTGTTGGCACCGTCCCTAGCGATGTAACTGAATATTTTCAGGTCTTGTGAGTCGTGAGACACATAGAAGATTCTGGGGGAGGGACAGGAGGAGTTAAACATGTGTAAGAAGTAACAGAATTCATGGGCTCCTCTGCTTGCTAAGACCCAGGACAGAGTCCTGCTGGTTTGCCTACCGTTGTCACCAAGCAGAGGGGCAGAGGATGCCTCGGGATGAAACTTCTCATCTCCAAAATACCCAGAGATCCCATAGCACGTGCTATGGAAAGTCAGTTCTATCCTACTGCATCCTGTACAAACTATTCCCTTTGAGAAGTCATGCCTTAGCATCAGGCCCTTCTTTAGAGGCTCACAGCATCCTGCGAGCCACGCGTTACAGGCAGACCAAGGAAGCCTGTGTGTCCTCTGCGTTTGAATCAGAGAGCAGTTTGAGTAGAAGGTGCCTCTGGAGGTCACTCAACATGACCTCTGCTTGACGCAGAGCCAGCTTCAAAGCCAGCTCAGTCAGTCTCTTCGCTGGCAGAAATGTATGGAAGATTCCCACCAGCAGTAATTTTGTGACCTAAATCATTTTTTTCATGGGGTTTGGAAAGCAAGCAGGATACATCTGATTCAAAGCATCTGATCCAGATGAGTGATCCAGATCTGGGTGTGCAAAGCCCTGGCACATACCTGTACACGGGATCGTGCATCACCACCATCTTGCTCTCATCCCACGTCCACTCCTTTCGCTGCAAGCACATAGCAGAAGCACAATTACTGCAGATCACAGGGACCCAAACTCCACCACTCCCATGGGCAGGAACCATGGAAAAAGGCACATCTGTCTCCAGCCAAGGGCAGGGCTATAGCCCAACTGCATTAGCAGTGGCTGTTCAGTCGGTATCTTGGATGGAAAAAGACTTCTTTGATCATTTATCATATCTGGTCATCTGATCATAGCCTCCAGGGCTGAAAGCTGTCCTAAAGATTAATTTATAGCATCAAATATGCAGAGGATTAACTCGTTTTGTGGGGCAGGGCTCTGAGTGAGAGCTTGAGGAGCGGGGGCAGCTGTGGGCTCTGCACAGTGTGAGCAGGCATGGGGCTGCACAGCTGAGAAAGCCTGCTAGTTAACGAGGAAAAGAAACTGCATTTCCTGAAAGCCTTACATTTTTTTGGTAGAAATCATCCTCCCACAGTGTAATTTCCTCACCTTTCTTCAGTGAGATTTTGTTATCATTTTTTATGTGTGTGTGGGGGTGAAAAATTGAGGCTTTTTCAGTTGAAAATTCTGGGTGTTTGTTAAAAAAAGGCTGGTTTTGGTTAGCAGCCTGACTGTGCTGAGCAGTGATGTGACTCAGACAAGGCCAAAGCCAATGCCAGGGCTGGGCAAGAGGAGCCTCACCTTCTGCTTCTTGCGCAGGATCACCTTCACGCCATCCACAGACACAATGATGCTCACCTTCTTCTTCTTAATGTTCTTGGCTTTGAATTCATACTGATGGGAAGACAAGCACAGGTTAGAAGAGAGGTGGGACTGGGAGGGCAGCTGAAACTGCAGCCACTGTCAGTGCTCTACATGGAAATGTTCCTGTGTTTAATAGCAGGGTGCTATTAAAGAGCACCTAATAGCGAGGGGCTTTGGATGCCGGTGCTGGAGCAGAACCCCCATCCCAGGTAACTGTGCAGGAAAAGGCTGGGGACTGTTGGTTCAGAGCCTGGAGGAATCTCCTGGCATGCTGGTACTGAAGCACCTTGCACAGTGTGGTGAGAACACGCAGCAGTGTCTGGCTCGGGAGGTGGCCCTGGCAGCACACGTCATGCAGTGATTTATGGCATCTCTGGTGCCCTTGTATTTCAGTGCTGCAGTGCATGGCGAATATAAAATCACTTCTGAATTGAGGGAGGGCCAGATGGGTGGCAATAATGCAATTATATCTGTCATGGACATAATCACATTAACCTCGGTGTGCCCAGTACCTCTGGAGAAAAACCCAGCTCCTTATCTGCAGGTGTCTGCAGACCAAACTCACCTCCGTTTGTGTTGAAAATTAAACTCATGGCTTTTAAATGCTGCTTCTGATGATAACTAAGAAGAATGGCAGAGCCCCTCTACTCTAAAGATGTGTATTTACTGTACTGATCCCTGCTGGCCCCACTTCAGGCACAATTTTCAGCTTCCAAACAGCATTTGACACCCTGTGTTTTTTGCTGTCCCTATCTGAAATCCAGCTTTCCTGGGCCAGATCGTCAGTTCACCCACACCAGCACACAGACCTGACAGTGCAGCTACAGCATGTGATCCCAGTCCGAGAGGCAGCGTGCAGACTGAAGCTCACCTACACTGTGTAATTAGACACCTAATTAACAACCTTATCTCTTGATAGAGTCGGAGGAGCCGCAGGCAGTGATTGAGACAGCAGGGGAGCCCAGGCAGCTCCTCTGGGAGCCTGATGCTGAAGGACAGAGTGTGGTGCTGTGGGTGCGTTACCCAGGATCTGCAGAGCAGAACATGGCTCTCCAATTCCCCAGCACCCTTTGTGAGCTACACTGGCCTTGCAGGCAGACAATGGGATGGCTATTCACGTGCATCAGGCTTCTGATGGTATTAGACAGACCCCTGATTAAACCACAGCCTTTTGATCCCCCCATGAATTATTACTTGGAGTCAAGCTCTTTAAAAATCTATCTACAGCCCCACTGTGCGTGCAGCTGGAGCTAAATTTGCCATATACATATTTTATTTATAGGGAGGAGTGACAGCGATGGGCAAAGAGGTGGCAAGCAGGCAAGCAGCACGGTGCTCAGGCAGCCCGCATCCGTCCTGCAGCAGCTCCTCCAGCCCCTCACTGTACCCCCAGCTGCTCCCCCCACGCAGCTTCACCAGCCCACGCTCAGCTCTGCCAGGCCGCTGCTCCTCAGCTGCTGGCACAAATGTCAATAAAACCCAGAGAGATTGTTCTGCCCGCTAAAGAGCTATTTATCTTTCTTTGTACACAAATGGCTGGGAAAATACTAGCCGAGCTTTCCAAGAAAGAGAGAGTAATACAGTGTATTTTCCCCTTGTAGCAACAGGGGTGCAATTACATTCAAACAAGGCTCTTTACTCAGAGTCTTTAAGCGAAGTCCAAGTCTGGGTTTTGCAGAGATATTTTTTCTTTCTATGCTGGACAGAAAGCCAACAGCCGGGAGCAGCAGTGCACGGCCGGGCTGCCAGGAGCACAGAGGAGCCTCCAGGAGGTACCACAGCACAGCCTGACTGCAGGGCAGCCCTGGAGGGCACTGCTGGCTGCCAAACCCTCACCACCTCTGCATGGAGCAAGCAGATGGGATGCAGCTTCCGTCATCTAACGGCTGCCTTTCAAACAGGACTCAGTATTCCAATAAAAGTGACTTGCTGGACAAAAAGGCCAGTGAAGAAAAGCGATGCCAGGATAGCGCAGTGTCTCCCAGCTGAGCAGTCCCAGGTGAGCATACAGCTCCCAGCTCTCCTTACACTGCTGCCACAGAGCAAGGTCTGTTCCCTGCATGTATTTCCTACCTTTGAATTGCTTTGAACTTTTTTTTCCAAATTTGCAAACGCAGCAGTGTTCATCTCTGCTGCCTTCTGAGTTTCAATAGTTATTCTCCTGCTGCTTGTGTAATCCTATGAGAAAAGCTCCTCTAGATGTTAAGAAATCTGAAGCTGCCACTGTAAGTGGAGAATCAGTGGGCAAACCTGGCAGTTTTATTAGCTATGGAGACAAGAGGGGACATTTTATAAAAAAATGCAGGTCAAAAAAGGGCACTGGATCTCATTTAATTTAGCAACTTCATTAATTCTATTTCTGATGCATCTGACCTGGAATACTTTCTATTTTTGCTTTTAAATCCCTGTGTTCAAGTCTCTGCCTTTCATATGGTCCCACACACTGCTGGCATGTAATACTAACTCACCCAAGAGCTAGAGACTGTATGACTGGAAATGTTAATGGCACTGTGCAATGCATATTTCATCTGATAATTCCGCCCAAGCAGAGATAAATTACACATGCAGTTACCAGCTTCCATCTGCTGATGAAAGAGATGGGCTAATGCACATTTGAAATCATGCGCAGTTTCCAGCACTATGAACAACTTGTGTGAACAGTTTTTCACAGAAGCAATTCTTAATGTGATTAATTACTGAAGGCATCAGGGCCTTTGTTATGCAAGTGAGAACTGTCATAAAGCAGAGTTTGCAGGTCCTGGAGGTAGACTTTGTCCATGAAGTGCACTTCCCCATGAACACGGAGCAGAAGGAGCAGCCCTGAGGGAGCTGCAGGAGCCAGGGCCCTCCTGGAACCTGGGGCAGAGGCTCGCTGTGCTTCTGAAGCAGGAGAACCCCTGCTGGAAGTACTTTGTGCACTCAAAGGACGATGTCACAGGTCTGCTAATGGCCTGTTTCTTCCTGCAGCTGTACTTTCCTCAGCCAGCCCAGGCTGCTGTTCAGCCACGCTCCCAGTGCAGCCCTGGCACTATGGGCAGAGGAACCTCTGCTCAGCTCTGCTCCCCTGCAGGAGGCTCTGTGGGATCTCTACCACTGCAGCAGGATCTTGGTTGGACCAGGACCCTGACCCCACCATGCCAAGAGGCCTCTCCCTGTCCCATTGCCTGATGCTGACTGAGTGCCATGCTAGGAATTCATCCCACGGCAAATCCAAGTATTTCAGGTTCAGGAATGTTATTACCACCAAATCAAACTGGCCCGAATGGCATGGGTACAGGGTGTTATCTCAACTTCTGTTTGAATTATTGATGCTTGGAGGGCTGCTGCTTGGGAATGACGCCACCACCACCCCATGCACTTTCCTCTCAGCAAGCGCAGATTACTGGTGCTTTGGATCTGACAAATGAGCCCTGTCAGTTCCCATACCCTTTGTGCCACTGGCTGTAGCTCAGCCTTAAGTCCCACCAGAGAGGCACTGCATGCCTTGCTGCACACCTCTGCCAGGACACACACACAGGTCACCCTGAGCCCCGCAGGCTCTGTCTGGAAGCCGCTGTCTCCTGCCCTTCTCTTTGCTCCTCCTGGAAAGCCAGCACCACTGGAATCCTCCGTGGGGCCACGGGGCCGTGGCCGGTCTGAATGGGGCTGGGCATAGTCTGGGGCTGCGCACAGTAGCTGGGCAACACGCACACAAAGCCCGGCAGGAAGCGGCGCGGCCCAGAGCGCACCTCCTGCCCACTGGAAAAATAAGAATTTATGGTCCTTGGAAACATAAAACTGCCCAGGGGAAAGCAGAAACCAAGCAGGGAGTACAATAGGCAAGGAGAATGCTGGCAAAGTACCCAAAGTCCTTTTCTTCTCATTTAAATGAGCTCTTTTCCCCCAGCCTGCGCTCTGCAGGCACTGCAGGCCGTCCCCGCTGTGATCTGGGGCCGGGCGCTGCCGGAGCGCGGTAGCGGTGCTGACATCCCTGACCGCGGCCGGGGCTGCAGACTTGTGCCTGGCCTCAGCTTTGATCTGCGTCGGTAAGGAGAGCCCTGTGGCTTGGGCCAGCCCTGGGTGACTGATCCGTGCAGCTGCTACGTGCTGCCTGGAGCCACTGCGCCCGGCGTGGCAGTTCTGCTTAGGTGCACGAGCTGGAGACAACTTGTCAAATATCTATGATGAAAGGATTTATGGGAAAAGCCAGTCTATGACTCTGTGTTTCCTCAACAGACCTCATCCAAGGTATGTGAAAGTGTTTCCTGGCCCTGGCTTAGCCCAGCAGGCAGGCAGTGGCCAAGATGGGAGCTGGGAGCAGAGATACAGGCACATTTTTGGAGGGCAGGGGATGGACTCCAGGACGAAGAGCCCCAGCACTTGGATCTAGCTGGAGGCCAGCCCTCCTCAGCCCCTCCCCACACCCCTCATTGCTGGGGCTCTCTTGGCGAGCTGTGCTACACCTCCAGCTCTTACTTTGACAACTTCACAGTGACACAAGTGTCCACAGGCACAGGTTTACATTCATCTGAAGAAGTGAAGAAAGCTAACAGCTGCTCTACAACTTTCTGCCCTGACCACAGGTCACCTCATTGACTGTTAGGCTTCCTGTTTCACCTGGACACCACACACCAGTACCAGGATCCTGAGGGCAACAACAGGCCTTAATGGTCCTGACCAGCCCCACCTGCAGCCTCTATTCACACCCATACACAGGGTATGTAGGCTCCACTTCAGCTCAGCTCAGGGCCCTCAGCTCTCTCTGGAGCTCCAGTGTGGGTATGTTAGTCCCCAGGTGAGCTGTGGCCAGGCCTGGCTGTGGACCTGCTGATCCTGACTTCCCAGTGTGGCTTCAGCAGGCTGAACTATGCTGCAGATTGGAAAGGGGAGAGGGATGAAATTGCAAAAACCCTGCTTAAGCTAGCAAAGTATTTGCATTTGTAGAGTTTCCAGTTTGGCACTGTCAGTGCTGTATGGGTGGCTTTATGCTGCAGCTCTCTGCAGCCAGGTGCATCCAAAGCTCTAGGCCAGCAGCAGGGTGCTACAGCTGTGTGTAGCTGGTTCCTGGCTTAGCTCATAAATGCAGCTCCTAAAGTACCCTCTTGAAAGTTGCCTGTATTTGGGAAAGGATGTGTGAACTTGGCCTGACTGCTCTGAATTCTGGCTTTGGCTGTGTTTCAGCTCTCTGCAGGGATTTAGGCATTTTCTGTCTCTTTTTATGATACTTCTTAGGGGACCGAGGTTTCTGGAAGAAGCACCACCAGGAATGCTGGGCATGCCTGGCCTGGCTGCCTTGTGCTAACTCCTATTTCGGCTTAGGAGACAATCTCTGAGGTGGTTCATAAGAGTGAAAACACAAGAGTGCTTGGGGTCTAGCAATAAACCGCCTCTAGGGTGCTGTACCACATGCTGCCCTCCTGCCAAAGTTTTGGAAGCTGCAGAGAAGCAATCTGTGGGACCAGGCTTTCTGGATGCTCCCTCCTGACAACAGCTTTCAGGCTCCAGTTGTATTAAAAGGAAGTGCTGTGTCATTGCTTCAGCTTGGGCAGCTTGTACAGCCTCTGCATCCCCTTGCAGACACCATCATCCCAGGACTCTGTCCCTCACCCTGGTGGAGTGAGGGTCCACTGAGAAATTGAGGTAAACAAGCACTGTTTGGAAATACTTGTTTTCAGGAAAGGAGCTGTATGGCTTAGCAAAATGTGTCTGACAATTTTCTGCTTTCATAAATATTCAAAACCAGCAGCACTGGGAGCTGACTAATCTGAAGGCTTTCCCTTGAACAGAGCTTTCCTTTCATCACGTCTTTTTCCAGACATAAATTCTGAGCCATAGCTTCTCCCTAGGATGGGCAGATGTTAACTGGAGTCCTAGCATGGGAAACTGAGGCAGGATGATTCATCAGGAGTTCACCTGGCAAGTCAAGGCAGAGCAGAGAGCTGAAATTGGGAGTTTCCAGCACCCGCTCATGGTAAGCATCATACATCCCCACTGCACAGCATGTGCAAACCTGTGGTCATCTGTGAGGCTGCAGACCCCACAGCCCACCCAGCAATTGTCAGAGCAGCAAGGACCCTGTCCCATGCTGCTATGGGGGAGGCAGAGAGAAGGGCTGCCTTTATCCATGCTGCCTTGGCTTTCTCAGGAGCAAATTGTATCCCTAAGATATCTCCAACTGTTGGAGTTCCAGAGGGCCTTTGATGATAGCGTGATCTTTCCATGTATAGCAAAAGCAAAGAGTGTGGCCAGAGCTCAGCTGTTCCTCTAAGAAAGTCCAATGGATGTGGATCAGTGCACCCAGGACTGAGAGCAGAGCTGTTGCAGAGGGTGGGAGCTGGTGGGGTACAGGCAATGGCTCTCACTGGGATTTTCCACCTCTGAAAACAGCCAAGCTGTTCTGGAACAAAGCTTCTTTGCCTGCTTCTTAGAAGAATGGCGGGATAAAAGCAGCCTTTTCATTGCTTCCTCCCTGTCAGAGATGCGATGTGCTGAGCCCCATCCTGAGGCACACAAGCAGCCACACAGCCCAGTGCAAGGTGACATCATCTGGCCTTTGGTGCCTCTCTGACAAAAGCACCATTGTGTGACTGTCACTTCCAGGAGCCTCCTGCTGTCCCCAGGTTTAATAGGGAGCTTTCCCACACACAGCTATTCTGCCCTTGTCTTGCCAGCTCCAGTTCATAGAGGGGCTGTGTCCCTCCCTACCTCAATTCATTTACGGGAGAAAACAAATTACCTTTTCTGTCTGCAGTGCTACCCATCTGCAAAGGGGCTGGCAGCTGGAGGGAGAGCTGTGTGGCAGTCAGACTCATCTGCTGGCAGAGATTTGCATGGGTGAACACCACAACAGCCCTGCAATCCACCTGTACCCTGGTGTGAGGCCCTGGTGCCTGCAATGCGCAAATGTTTCTGTTACTGTGCCATGCTGTCCTTCAGCAGCTGATCGGAGCATCAGCTCTTCCCTGTCTTGAGTGATTAATTGGTTTCAGTAATGAAGTAGTGTCTTAGGACTCTACCCCC